TCTAAAAATTATTGTTTAAAAAATTTAAAAGTTTAAAAAAAACCAAAAAAACTTTATGATAAAAAATCCTATCTTAACATGAATTTCCCCAAATTTGTGAATAAAAAAAAGGGGGGGAAATTTTTTAAACCGTTGATTCTAAGTTTACGTGATGATGCAGTTTTTTTCTTTTGCATCTTAAAAAAGGTCAAGAATTATCATTTCTGTAAAAAAAAAAATTATCTCTCCATGTTATTTACCATTATCATTTTTGCCATTTCTGTTTATTGATGTTTTCAAGACGTGCAATAAGCTTAATAAAGTTTCATGATTACATTACATTACATACTCAGTTTTGAAGAAAATGTTAAGGGTACTATGCACTATTTTGACCAATATTGACATGTCCAATTCCCTAAGATTGGGTTTCTATGATCTTACATTATAAATCGATGAAATTTTGGGAGTGCAGATTTCTTATAAGTGTTTAATTTTCCCCTGCAGCATTTTTTTTAGCGATAAATTAAAAAATGCTGCCATTTTGCCGGTGATTTTTCCCTGCCTGTCAAACTTCTCCTTTTACGTCCTGGTAAACATATGTTTCCCAAAATACGCTTTTTGAAGCGTGCCATTTGATTAAAATTTTTTGGGGTTTTAAAAACCAGCTTTTTTTCGGGGGGGGTTTTCCACTGAACCCTTTCTTGTTGATCTTTTTATCAATTTTGTGAATGCGACCTTCTATGGGCAAAAGCAGTTTAGTTTTCACTATACCATAAGTCAAAAACTAACTCAACTAAATTTAACAGATTGAAGTTATGCATCTTCGCACTGGCTGAAACAGACAAAAATTGTTAATATTCGCGTCCGAAGGCAGGTCATCTAACCTGCCGCGCCCCCTCTCTTCTCTTTACACACATACTTACCCCTGATGTCATTTTATATGTATCACCGTGTATATCCAGTAACGCCGGAATGTGAAAATAACGCACGATTCGTGCAATTAGTTACGCAGAATTGTGCAATAGATGGCGGATACCTGACAGGATTTCCAACGCGCTAAGAAAACTGGCCAATATATTTTGTATTTAACCGATCTGGAAAAAATCAAATGCCGCATACGGCTGCGAAGAAAAAACTCTTTATCCCTCATCAAGATTATTTCCACAGAATTGTTTAATTTTCAAGATCATTCGTGAAAATGATGGCTTGACCACCGTTTTGAGCGAGATTTTGGCTTTTTTGTCGGCTCTTATAAGTACAACAATGCATATTATTCCGTATAATTTTGATTTTCGTTAAGTGACATAAACCTTACTTCTTGTGATACCAAAAATTGAAAATAATCTGATAAAATGTGATTCAAGCCGTTTTTATGAGGTAACGCCGATGTACGTGAATTGTGCTTCGCGGTAACACCTGAAAATGTTATTTGTTTTTCTTACATGGTACAGAATTATTACACAGGCAAATATAATCAAGTGTTTTGAGATCTATAGTCAATGTATTTCCTTCGTAACTTATTTAGAAATATATGAGAATTAGATCGTGACAAACTTTCAATATTTTGATTGCATATTGTAACTTAGTACAATTTGACAATTGTTTCTTGAAATAAAATTATTATTTGTGAATATGCTGCCCACGTCTGATCTTGTAAAAGAAAATATAAAAAATAATAAAAAAATATAGAAAATAAGAACAATAAACTTAGTTTGCAGCCATTTTGAATATGAAAATAATAGAAAACAATCAAGAGAAGAAGTGTCTGTATATTTTATGCCTGAAATAGTGCACCACTGAAGCTTGAAAGTCTTTCTTGTGTTGGCGTGATGTGAAAGCAAACCAAAACAAATATTTAGCTGTAGCAATTTGCCTGGTGAACTTCTGTGAAAATAGAAAATTTATTTAATTTATTTTTTCTCTAATATAAGAAAGTAGCCTGTATTCAAAATATATTTTACTTAGAAACTTTAATGCCCAAAACTTGTAAAAGCATAACCTTATTGTCCTCTGCTAAAGTTTGGGGTAAAATTTACCCTACTCTTAGGGTTTCTTATTATATGTTAACTTATATGGGAAAGACACATGCATCTACCGTAAGAGTTTATGCTAGGCATTACCTTAGACGTTTACAAAACTAACAGGACTAATGACCCTAAAAGAGGCCACCAGAACAGAGCCATGTCACATCCATACGGACTGACCATTTGCTCACTCATGTAGCTCATTTGTACAAATACATTAAATATCTAATACCAATATCTCAGACTTTGAATAAACTGTTCAAAGTTCACAGCTGAGCAAAACCATTTCATAAATTTACCAGGTAAAGGGTAACATAGACTAAAGATAGGTTGAATATATGTTGGTTACTTACTCAATGGACATGTATATGGAGAGCTACTAGAGATGTGTTTCAGGTAGATTTCATCTATCTATGTTATAAAGGTCTAAAAGGGACCTTCTTCATGTCTAATAATTAACAAAGAGTAAGAACAATGAAAAATTCTACAATTCAACAAAGCCCATTTTCATACGTCTTCAATAGGTATTGAGAAATTGCTACCCTGTTGTTTCCTCGAGAAAGAAAACTTCAACGCATTGCATGGTACTCACTCCAACAAAGACTTATATTAGGAAGCTTAAAGCTCTGTGGTTTCAGGGACGGATTCGAGACTGTGTCTTTTTTTCTATGCAATCAAACTAAAATAAATTCTGTATGATATGAATTAAAGTTTCCCAACAAAAATATATTTGAAAAGTTCTGATACTCGCCGATTGATGGCGTTAAACATGTGTAACAGTTCAGTACTATATATGACAAAAATCACATTTTCCGGCGTTACCGCGAAGCACAATTTATCGGCGTTACCTTATAAAAACGACTTAAATCCCATTCCATCAGCTAACTACAATTTTCTATATCACCAGAATTGTAGTAAATGTCACTTGCATACCTAAAATCGAAATTATACCATATAATATGCATTGTTGTAAATAGTCGACAAAAAGCCAAAATCTCGCTCAAAACGATAGTCATGTCATCATTTTTACGAATGATCTTGAAAAGTAAACAATTTCATGGACATAATCTTGATGAGGGATAAAGAGTAATGTCTTTGTATCCGTATGCAGCTATTCATTTTCTTCAGTTCGGTTAAATAAACAATATAATGGTCAGTTTACTTACCGCGTTGGAAATTCTGTTAGGTATTCGCCATTTATTGCACATTTCTGCGTTACTTATTGCACGACTTGTGCGTTATTTTCCAATTCCGGCGTTACTGGATATACACGATGTGTATGTAAAGCGTTAGTCCAAATAACAGAGTGTGTATACAGTTGTAAAATTTATTTGCGGAACTAATAACAAGTTATATTAACATAAGAATTAAGAGGTTGTTTTTAAGCCTGAGTATTTCAGGAAAAGCCTGTCGCATATCCTTATGGTAATTATTTCATAATATGATACGTAGAAAATGAATTATTGTGCATTTAAATGAAAGCATGATTACATTTAAAACACTCAACATATTAAAACATAAACACAATAAGGAAATTTTCAAAATCGATCTCCTGGGATTGGCAATATAATGAAATCACAATGGTTCTTATTGTTTTCAGTCAAGCATTATTTTCGCGCATTGAACTTAAATGGATGTCAACCAGTGAATAAAGATTAAGCGAAATGTTTGATATCTAAAGAACACTATGTTGTAAAAAAATAAAGAGTCATAATATCATTTTCAGAACGGTCGTTAGTTGCGTTAGTCCACTGTGGTAATCTCGTTTACAAAATTATTAATCGACAAATATAAAATCTAATTTCATACGAAACAATATGTTATTAAGAATTTGTGTTAACACTTGCTCATTTATTAAGAACTTGTGTTATCACTTGCTCATTTGTTTTTCCTAACCCTTTTGTTTGATAAAAACAATCAGTACAGTATTTCACGAAAGTGGGACTTTTTGCGTGAATAATCTTCGACATCAACGTAGAATGAATGTCTTTATGGCAGCGTTGCAACATTGTTTAAACCAACTGAGCATTTGTATAAAATGTCAAATACTTATAACCAGATTTGATACTTCACACAATTACGACGAGGCTTATAGCTATATAAACAATTGTATTAATATTGAAATTGCATTTTAATAATACTGATTTCTTCTCTAAGCACTCTTTAAAATTTATTATTGCTCATATTAATGATTAGTAATAATAATAAATGGTCTCTACATATATATGTTCTTGTTGTGATCAGAAGGTGTAGACATGCCAAACGCGATATTCACAAATTTTGTGATGGTTGCCCCCTGATTTAACATGATATGATTAATACTAGTTTTGTTTTAAATATGTCCCTTAAATAATAAACACAATTGAAAATGATTTAAGGAATAAAAAGCAAGATTGCGGATATTTTAAATAGGTCTGTATGAAGGCAAAAGCAAGAGGGTCGATCTTACTATATAATGCATCAATATGAACTTTCAATAAATCTGTTGTTGTTGCACGGTTGTTATTAATATTTATTCTGCCAAATATGTGCATAAAACGGTTCCAAATAATAGATGGCATGGACTTAAAGCTGTTGCCAATCTTGACAAGGCACATTGTAAGACAAAAATCATTATTCTCAAAGCTTTTTATTTGGAGTTATTCCTCTCTTTTAACTTAGAGGTTCCATCAACAATTTCTCATTACGTTGAGTGTTTTCAAAACTTCGGAAACTTGAAAATGCGTATAAGAGGCCTTATCCTAAAACTAAACTATTTTAAGAGTTGTGTCCTCTTTTTAACTTCATCCCAGCTTACGTATATAAACGACCCCTAAATGAACGTTGCCATTTTTTGTTCATAATGAATTGAAGACAAAACAATATAAAAAAAAAAACATTTAAAATGTGTGGCTTGATTTAATGTTGATCTATCTTATTATGGTTTACGTAAAACGCTTAACAAATACCCAAAAGAATTATAACCAAAATATTATTGCAATAAAGTGTAACAAAAATATGGCATGTTTTAAAATTGCATGATACTGATTTAAACCAAACCAAATTAATACAAAATATGTAAACGCAGGCAAAGGCATTGAATGACAAATTGTAAATGCCATTCAACAATTTTTGTTAATTTTATCAGTTTTGCAGTTCGTAAACTTCTATAACGAGAATGAGCACACAGCGCAAGTAACCTCTCTATTTTCTATGTAAGGTCCGCATGAAAGGGAACCGCATATTGCTTGAACAAAGTAAAGTAAATAACCCTCCTTATCTTCATAGCTCCTGTTTATTGTTTCCGGATCACCATCAACACATATGAATTCACTAGGAGCCGCATGTGAATAATGTCCCGCCATCAAATAACCTTTGTATTGTAGAGAGTAAGGCCGCGGGCAAATCTTAGTACCGGGTACCATTAGTACGTCGTTAGAAGGGACGCGACAAACAATGCATGGAACATCGTTGTTTTGAAGATAGTACCACATGCTATACTCATACGTTGCGTATTCAGCCCCGTAAATGAAGGCTCCGTATTTTTCTCCCTTCCCTGTAAATTTTTCCCAAGTTGGTTTTGAAGTTAGACATAACGGATTTGATGCTCCACCTGTGTGTAAATAATACGATCCTGCTTTGTATCCTGTGTATACTACTGTTGCCCCACTGGGACACGTTGTTCGTCCCCAACGAATATACGTAGCTCCATCTTCTTTGTGTTCGCCAATGCATCACGGTTGTCTGAAAATGTATAAATAAATTAACAATTAAAAATATGTAAAGTGAAAATGTCTCCTCTTCAAAACTTACTTCAAAATAAAATATTTACTCTAGTTTCTTGTCTGTATAAGTATTGAATAAATTGGTTGAGCCATGCGCTCATGCGTCAAAATTTTGTTTCTGTGTGATAAAAATATTGCACAATGTGTGTACCCTCAGTTCTATTTTTAAGACTCTCTATTTGTTTCCCCTGCTCCTGAATGATTGTTTCGTGCTTGTGCAACTTCTCTTCAAGGCGAATCAGCTTTAAAAGATCACTGTAATTGCTTTCCTCAGTCGCCTTACATCCTGCATCATTTTCATTGCAATAGACAACTGTCAATCCTTTCACAAGTATTAACGAAGTAATTAACAAAAGTGGCATTGCTTTCATTTGAGTGACTTTCTTGTCAGTTGTAAATCTATGTACTTAAAATAGTGAAACTAGTTTTTTGGACATGCTTTAAATGTAAATGTTGATATTTAAAGCGTGAAATATATATACAAACAAGTATGTTTATTTAAATTTTAAGATCAAATCAAAAACCATTTTCAAAAATAATTTCCTTCTCCCCTTTACTTCAGACATTTTTGTCATTGTTCAATGTTTCTGCATGTATTTTTTTGTGTTTTACTTCAACAATGTTATCGTTTAATCACCTATAATCAAATAAGCGATTTTGTGGTAAACAGTCTTTTTACACACGTCAACTTCTACTAACTCCCCATCGATATGTAGAGCTACCAACAGGTCATCGGTTACCTCACGACTCTTAAAGAAATGTATGAAATAAATAGAAATGCAATTACAGTTCATTATTGTCTGTAAACTGTATAAAAATTATAACTATTATTTTTTTATAAACAAACGTTATTAATTGATCCCAAAAAATATTCATTTTAAACATGAACCACAACAGAACTTTTTTACTATGAAAACAGTAAGCTTATTGCCATTTCTCATATACATATATAAACATATGCTTAATAAATGACTAATTGCATGAATACATATAAATGAACAATAAAGGTTTATATAGAGATGTTAGAATGTTTAATGAGACTGTAAACTACTTTGTAATCATTTGAATATGCATAAAAGTTGCTAAAAAAAAACAACATTAAAACTAACATAATTGAAATGTTGATTGCAATACGTTTAGTTACTCGGTTAAAGTAGGTTAAAGCAGCATACCAAATGGACTTTGCCATATTTCTTTCTCATATGGTGAATACTTTTTAGTAGGACTAGAACAGTTTTTCCAACTGCTTCCTCTTAATTACATATGGAAACGTATAAAAGCGGGTAAATGTCTATGCATTGCTTCAATCAATGTTAACCGCCTCCGTGGTCGAGGAGTTAGAGTAGATGACTTCTAATCCAGTTACCTCTTTGGCGTGGGTTCGATCCCCGGGAGATGCTTGATAGTTTAGTGCGGAGGAAGGTAGTCTAGTACTGGTGTTACTTTGCAGGAACGACGGTTCAGAAACTACCCGCCTATATGACTGAAACACTGTTGGGAAAAGGCGTGAAATGAAACGACAAACAAATCAATCAATGCTAACAGGTCGTGCGCGATTTAAACTTACGACCTGAAGTGTCCGCATTGTAGGTTTATGTCCATACATTAACCGATTTGTTTGTCTGCTTATGAAGACATAAAACTAGACAACAAAGGCACCAACTTGTTTTACATGCATCTGTCATGTATAACATAATGCCCAAGATACGCCCATTCGGCATGCTGTTTTGATATCTGGAAAAGAAACGACCTATACTGATACTTTAAGGTATTTTGTCAGGCGATATGAACAGAATGGATACTCATTAGTCTGGGATGGCAGTTTCTTTGTCTGGCCTACAGTCATATCAGGTATTGACGGTACCTTACATTTTCCAGTACCGTCAATAAACATGCTCACACTGAACATACAATATTTTCAATTTTGACGTTTTTGGTGTTCTTTAGGCCTTCCGCTTTTTTCTATGTTACAACTAAATTAGTTGTTGGTTTTGTTTATTTGTTGTTGTTGTTGTTGTTCGTTTTGTTGTTGTTGTTGTTTAAGAGGCATTGGCTTTATACCATATGTGTAATTTAATTTTGGAATTTGCCTCCATATTGTGAAACTTTCAACTTTGCCTAGGCCATCTTAAATTAGATCAAAGTATCATCAGATTTCTGTTTAATATTAAAATGTTGTATCTTCTTACATTAAAGTCATTATCATTTGATTTGTGCTTGTAATGTTTCTTTAATGTCTGTTCACCATTTGTTATAAGTCCCAAAGATGCTGAATCAAAATTGTTATGAAGACATTGATTTTCGGTTTCATATACACTATTTGACCAGTGATTGACATTTCCAATATACAGTACGATTAGGTTGTCACATGATCTAACATTAAAGATCTCGATGTAATTTCGTAATGTCAGATTTCGTTAGTAAATGTTTACAATGACCTGCAGCAGATGTCATTTGGCAATAAAGAGAATTATATACGTGATTTTGACATTGATTTGTGAATGTTTTGGCACACACTCTCATGTTGCCTTCGTAGTAAATATTTTTTTGTTTAGTTGTTTTTTGTTGTTGTTTTTTATGTCTTTTTGGCCAAAGGTATTTTGCGTTAAAACCTTGCTATGGACACCTGCAAATTATGATATTTGCCGCAAGTACCAATAAATCCAAGAACCATTTTCAAAAGGACCCAACAGCAATAAGTTTTTGGAATTTGCTTCACAATTTATACTACATTCTGCACTCTTCAAACAAATCATGAATTTTACATATAACTTCGTGCTCACTTACTTGAGCTAAAAATTGCACAAACATAATGGCAATCTTAGAGTCAAGGCAAACATTTATTTGCCTCTGGCTCGCATTTTTGACTGATCCTGTATCATGTCTGCAGGGGTAAATGTGAATTCGCGTCCATGCATCCTATCCTGGCTTAAGAACACCTGAAATTTAAACATTGCATACCGCGGACATAATCAAACCTTTACTATTACACTTTTTATGTCATGTCATTTCTTAATGTTATGCGTCGGTGTAACAGAATGTGTATTTACTATATGTGAATTGTAATGACCGTACAATTTTGAAAGATCAGACGTTATGGTTATATTATACTTTACACGTCTATTGAATGCAAATAAAGAAGCAAGCCTAAAACCCTTATGTCAATGATACGATATAGAAGTAGAAATTCAGGAACCTTCAAACGAAAAAATGATGAAATAAAAAATTCTTTAGTTCCCAAACCACACACAACACAAAAAGTATTTTGTGAAAATCAGTCTTCTAGGACTGCTAAATATCAATCTGAATATAAATCAGAAAAAAATTATAATATAACGGTTTGGTTTAAGGTATTACCACCCTAATGGCCACTATAAAGTACTAAAAATTGACATCATAGGTCAGATATATACCTTAAAGTACACCTGTATGCAAAATTTAAACAAAGTTTAGAAATGAGGAACCTTTAAATAGTCTGCAATAACATTGTATTGAAAAATGTTTTCCCATTAATGTTTGGTAAGAAACAAAAAGTACAAGTCTGCTAGCAATCCACATAAGCAAAATTATGGTTTTTACTTAAAACTTATGAAATCTGTGTAAAGATGTAACCCTACCACACCCATTTTTACTATGTGTCTGACCATTTTCCTACTAAGGGAGCCTAATTTAAAAAATCCTTAAAATGTACCCAAATGAGTGCCTGTTTTCAAAGTTTCCCGAAATTTTTAAAGAAGTATATTGGTTGATCTTGTAAAATATGAAATACTTTTACCGTCTAGTTTTGATTTTGTTACACTTTGAAAATATCAAATACCATATAATGATGGTGTTGCGTATCGCCATTTCAGGGTACTTCTTATCGAAACTGCACCCAACATGATAAGAAAAATGTTCTACGTGGCATGACATTCTTCGATTTTTAAAAAACAAGCATGATCTTTTTAAATTGATATTTTTACTAAAATTTCTTACCTTTTTCAGCCTTGTTTTCATCGAGGGCTCTGCAACGGAAGTGTCGATGGCTCTCATTTAAACAGATCACTAAAATGTGAAAGAGACACCGTTTAGTAGGCGTGTAGAAACTATTTGCGTTTTTTTTTTTTTTAAGTTAGCGTTTTTGCGGTGTATACATTTTCGAGGATGTGGCATGTAGCAAATCTGCGAACATGTGTTGATTAAATTCTTAGATCATCATTATGTCGTTATGAAGTCCTATGATGTTAGATGCATACCTAATATCTATGCTTTACTGATACACATTAAGGTTTTGCCGTTTGAAAGTATCCATTTTTTCACATTATTTTTACAAATTTATATACATCTTTTTACATTTTGCATTTTTTAAATGAAGAAAAGGAAGAAATGCTATAAGTACAATAGCACTTGTCGTGTCTATAGAAAGATGCTTTAGGTAAAACTAAGGAATTAACTTTCATAACATATTGTAAAGCATCTTAATCTTTTTTCAGCTCTGTAATAAGGATGAACGTGTCAGTGAACGATACAAAATCCATTTAAAAACTATAACCCTATTGTCTAGTCTGTAAAAAAACTCCAACTACTTATTTCAAGATATCTTAAATTCTAAGCAGATTAATACTCCTACAGAACGACGTATACGTTGTAATCCTAGTCTGCACTTTACAATTACGAACGCCAAGAGAAATAATAAGTTACTTTATTACTACGTTTACATTTTCTAACAAACTTAATATGACGCAAAAGAAATATACATATATCACGTCAATAGTTCGGCATTCGAGTCAAACACCAATCAGACAATACTTTCTAAAAATAAATGACACATGGCAGATACATTGGCAGATAAATAATCAGTGTCAAAACTTTCAATAAATTTACTTATAGATAAGTTGTTTTGGTTTTGAAAACCCTAAAATAAATGCGTTTCCTTCATTTTGTAACAGTTAATAGACGTCAATATAATTTTTTCATTGTTTTTAAGTGATTTGTATGCAAGTGTTTTAACGTGTGGTTTTGGACTTAAAAAAACCCTTTGCTGATCATTGACTTAATTGACATTTATCTAATGTTGAAAGTAACTGTTAAGTGTGTAACTACCATATCAACAACACTATCAATGTCTTTCTGATGTGTGCTCATTGTACTAAGTGATATTCGATTGAACTCTCTTGTATCATTCAATCTTTATTATTCCTTTGACAGTGGTGACAAGATTTTCATTATAATTAATCATGAATCAAAGTGTTTTTGTTCTCTTTCATATATTTTTCTTTTACCATAATGCGCTAGAACCTTGTCGAATGCTTAGTTGTTGATATCTTTATCTTGTCATAATCTCTTCTATTTTAAATAATCCTTTTATACACAAAATCCCATT